TCAGTCACTGTTTTTATTGAATAAAAATAATATTTTATTATTATTCTGGATTGGGTCAAATTATATCAATTTTTTAAGTTATATATCGAGTCAGATTCAGATCGGTAAAATCTTGTTTCGGTCGAGTCAGATCAAATCTCGAGTGAAGGATTCCTACTAATAACTTTTCCTGCCACAAGTTCGCTATTTTTTTCCTTGTAAATTTGGACCAAACCAAAAATCAATCAACTATTAAATATACAATAACAATATTAATGTCAAAATTGGCTCACAACATTTATTAAAATAATTATTTTGATCTTTATTATTTTTAGGGTATGATAGGCTCTAACATTTTATTTTGAGGTAAAATAACGTTATGTGGATGAAAATATGTGGATGAAAACAGTTAGTTAACATATAATTAATGTTCTAAAATAAGAGTCATTTTATCTTAAAATGAAATATTAAAGGCTAAAATGTTTTTAAAAAAAAGGAATAAAGTGATTATTCTATTAAATATTAGAGACTTTTTATCTAAAAATAAAACATAGAGTATCAAAATCTCAAAACATAAAATGATTAAATTGATCATTTTAATAAATATTGGAAACTAATTTTGACATTATGCCAAAATGATTATTCTAAGTGTATATTATTCTTTGATTCACTAGATTAAAATTGATATAGATAATAATGATTAATGTTTTCAAAACGTGCAACTCACACATCCACATTATGCGAAGTGATTATTCTAATTGTATATTATTTTAATTTTGACATTATGTTAAAGTGATTATTCTAGGAAGGTAAACGAGCAATGTCGAGTTCAAATATTGTTGAACTCAACTCAAACTCGAAAACTTTAAAAGTAAACTCAACTCGAAAACTCAAAAACTAAAAATTATCAAACTCAGCTCAAACTCAAAATATAATATTAAAACTTAACTCAAACTCGAAAAGGCTCAAACTCAAACAAAATTTCAAAAACTCGATTCAAGCTCAAGTGCTCACCGCGCGGATCCGTAAATCAAACCCTTGAGTTTACGCTTTCCTGCTTGATTCTTCTCCAGCAAACTCCCATCTTCTACTAAATATGCTCTCTATTTTCATCTACCATCCAAAAGCTACCCCTACTCTCTCTTCACTATTCTCCATCAAACTCCCATCTTCTACTAAATATACTCTCTATTTTCATCTACCATCCAAAAGCTACCCCTTACTCTCTCTTCACTATTAAAGCTCTTCAAATCTTTCTCTCCATCCATCCCTTTTTCATAGCTGAATTGAGAAGAAAGAAACTATGGAGATTATAAACGAAAACCAAACAATTCAATCCATCATCAGATCCCACTTCCTGAAGCTTGTCACCAAAATTTTGCTCCCCTTTTCAGTTCTTTCTGTAATATTATCATACCCTTTGTTATGCAACTTCCGAACTTTGACATATAGTTTACAACTCTTTAGTTTCAGCGTTGGAAAGAATTACATGTTTCTGCTTTGCAATGGACTTCTTTTTTTCATTGCCACCAGATCTGTTTTGTTCGGTGGTTTTGGGGTAGAGTCTAATATTAGATCCGATAAGACTCCAAGGATCAGTAAGGGAGGTGGTCAAACAGAATCATCAGAGCCAAAAGAGTCAATTTTGAAAGCAAATGTTACTGCAGAAGTTGATCAAAGAGAAGATCTTCCCTTGGTTGTACAAGATGAAAAAGAAGAAGAAAGATCGAGTGAGCTTGTTGCAGTCGAGGAAGATGAAGATGAAGATGAAGATGAAGAACTTGGTTTGTTGAGTGATGACGAGTTAAACAAGAAATGTGGAGATTTTATTAGGAGAATGAAAGAAGGGATTCAATTTGAAGCTCGCAATTGAGGGTTCAATAGTAGAATTCGACACAACATCGCGACTTTGACAATAATTTGGTTCTCCCCTGTTTTTTTTCCCTCGGGAATTTGATTTCTGGGTTTTAGTTTAGAATACTGGTCGCTGTAAATTAAATGTTGTTTTGCTGTGATTTCTAATGTAATGGTAATTAAACATTGCTGTTAGAAAGTATAATTAAGGTGTTGTAGACTTGTGGTAAATTAGGATTCTGTCAAGTAAATTAGGGGTAAATTAGCTTTAGGCCCTCTAGATTTTTGCGTTTTGTACAAAACAGTCTCTCATTTGTTTAAATTTTCTTATTTGTTTTAAATGTTCAAGTGTCATTTATGTTATTTTCCATATTATTTTAGCTTAAACCAAATAGGATCAATTGCATATAAGACCCTGTAGTTTATGCGCATTTTGTATTTAAGTCATTGGTTTAATTACAATTTTGTAAGTTTAATTTTACATTTACGTGAATTTAATCAACATTCTAAAGTTAGTATATTTAGCTTAAATTAGTCCTCACATTTAGGTTTCTCTTAATTTAGTCCCTGTTTAGGATTATTTCTTTAATTAGTTGTGTATATTTATTTTGCATGTTGATATGTTTATGTATAAGTATAAGAATGATTTATTTAGGAGTCACATAACATCATTTTGCATAATTTGTATGTTACCTTCATGTGCATAACTTAACCCCTAAACCCTATCACATAATTAGAAAGAATGAGATGGCTTAGTGAAAGGAGAGAGAATAACTTGTTTTTCTTTTGCTTTATGAAGAACAAAAATCTAATAAGAAGCTTGAGTCTTTTTTTTATTTCTGCTCCTCTTCTCTTCTCATTCTTCTCTTTATTTACTGCTTTGATTTTCCAACTCTGCAATTATTACTTTCTTTTTTTTCCAGAGTAGAATCTAGTAATGCATATATATTTGTCTTGTTTTACTTTATATGGTACATGTTAGTAGTAGGGATGATCATTTTCTCTCAAATATGATTTGATGCCATTAATTTTGTTAGTTAAGATATTAATGTAAATCTAAATGAGTTTTTTCTTTCTTAATTCTTTATAAAATCGGGTCATTTTACATAATTTGTATGTTACCTTCATGTGCATAACTTAAACCCTAAACCCTATCACATAATTAAAAGGAATGAGATGACTTTGTGAAAGGAGAGAGAGTAACTTGTTTTTCTTTTGCTTTCTGAAGAACAAAAATCTAATAAGAAGCTTGAGTCTTTTTTATTTCTGCTCCTCTTCTCAGTCTTCTCTTTATTTATTGCTTTGATTTTCAAACTCTGCAATTATTACTTTCTTTTTTTTTCCAATAGTAGAATCTAGTAATACATATATATTTGTCTTGTTTTACTTTATATGGTACATGTTAGTTGTAGGGATGATCATTTTCTCTCAAATGTGATTTGATGCCATTAATTTTGTTAGTTAAGATATTAATGTAAATCTAAATGAGTTTTTTCTTTCTTAATTCTTTATAAAATCGGGTACACTCTATTTTGATATATTTTTAAAAATTATTAATATTTAAATTGAATCATATTTTATTATATTATATTTATTGTCAAATAAAAAAAATAGTTATGAGGTAAGTACAATATAATATCTTGATATTAAATTCTCAAACCCTTGATTTTTATGATATTTGAACCCGAAACCTCAAAATATAACAACAATTTAAAAAATTAGTTATTAAAAATATTATCATTAGAAATATATTAAATATTTGTCATTAGATAAATAATTTTAAGATATTAAAATTTAAATTTGAGGGTAGTTGTATTATAGAATTTTTAATATATTTTTAAAATTTTATAATTATCAATAATGTATTTTTAATAATGTAATTTAAAAAATCAAAAAATATAATATAACATTTTTTTGAGTCGAATATCGAGTAGCTTGTTTCGGCTTGTTAAGAACTCGAGTCGAGCTCGAGTCGAGTCCATTCGATCCAAGTATTTATCAAGCCTTAATCGAGTTGATCTCGAGTAGCTCACGAAATGTCTCGTCTCATTTACATCCCTAATTCTAAGTATATATTATTATAATTTTGATGTTATGCTAAAGTGATTATTCTAAGTATATATTATGTCAAATTTTTAGATTAAATACATAATAAGTCTCTATTATTTTAAAATTAAATAATTTGTCTCTCTCAATTTTTGATCCAACTCTACCCAATTCACACATCCACATTATTTTCGTTGACTTTGACTGCAAGAGTGCTTATTACTTTTGCCCTCCATCAACTTGTGCAAATTGTTTGCTTAATGAGTTACATAAACATTGAGATGTGATATCTCCTTTATTATTATGAATTACAGGTAGACTTTGCTAAAATCTAAGCTAAGTTCAAGTTCCATCGTTTAAATATTTTTCATACAATAATATATCGATGCAGGACCATCGAGATGCACGATCCCCGCCCTATTAAAATACATGTGTGATTTAATATTTCTCTTGTCCTACCTACCATAACAATTCTCCCATAATTTTATAACCATAATTGAAAGTTGCCACTTGCCAGCACGTGCAGTAGCCCAACATGCTTGACTGTCCTATTGAATACGTTGTCAGATATGCAATGAATCAAAGAAGTGATCTCTCTTAGCTTCACTTCTTTAGGGCCTATAAAATGGGCATCAAACCTCAATATCAAAGCATCCCCAAAATCAATCAAATCTCTCCCCAGAAGTAGTGTTTAATCTGCAGTGCCGATCATGGGATCCAGATTGGTAAATTTTTTTCAAGTAAACCCTAAGGAAGCCTCTTCCATTGAGCTTGTTAAACTCTTGTTTTCCAGTAACATTCAGAAGAGAAAATTTATCCAATCTTCTTACAAAAGAGAGGAAAGTTTCATATATAGGTTTATTATAGTCCTTTCGGTACTGGTACAAAAGTTTCTGCTTAAGATAGCGCTCCCAGTGGAATTGTTGGGGAGCTTTCTAGTGTATCTGCTCAACTTTCTTTACGCTAACGATGGCTTCTTTGGTCTCATAAGAAATATCATGCGTGGTATTTATTTAATCTTTTTACGTCCATTTCTTGTTATATATTCATGATTTTCGTCTAGTTATGTCTCGCTGTTTGTTGAACAGTGAAGGTCGTGATTCCACACTGGAGGTCTGCAAATTATCTGTGTTTAATAGGACTTTTAGACGCGAGAATGGAGTTAGACAGTGGCATTAAACATGGTAATCCCATGTATTATCCAGCACTCTCGATTATGGCTTGTAAAACAGTTTACAATAATGCTGCTTATAACCAAGCTTTAATCGAAGGTCAATGGAAGGTATAAGAGTGGTTATTATTATTATTCATCAATGAAATTAGATCAGTAAACTTCCATTAATTGTTTGACATATTTGTTGATTTGCAGATGGAGTTCTTGGGATTCAGAAATTACTGGAACGGTAGTACCCATTTCAACAACTTCATTTTCATTTTTTTGGCTTTATTAATTGATTGATTTTGTTAATTATTGATGACTTGGGGCAGATTTTACTGGAAAACCTGACACACAAGTTGTGATGTTTCGAGATAAAGATGTTGATCACGACACCATTGTTGTTTGCTTCAGAGGAACACAACCGTTTAATCTCAATGACTGGTGTTCGGACGTAGACTTGTCTTGGCACGAATTCCCCAAAATCGGGAGGATTCACAGCGGCTTCATGAAAGCCTTGGGGATGCAAAGTGATGTAGGATGGCCGGAAGAAGTGGATAACGATTCATACACCGGTGGCCGCAAAGCAGCCTTGGCTTACTACGACATAAGGGACACGTTGAGAACCCTTTTGAGGAAAAACCCCGAAGCCAAATTTATAGTGACGGGCCACAGTTTGGGCGGCGCGTTGGCTGCTCTGTTCCCGGCGATTTGCTTTTACCACGACGAACGATTGTTGCTCGACAGAATGGAGGCGATCTACACGTTCGGACAACCCAGAGTCGGAGATGAAGCGTTCGGGAATTACATGAATATGAATCTGACAAAGCGTGGTATTCATTATTACAGATACGTTTACTGTAACGATGTGGTTCCTAGGGTTCCTTCTGACCGCGTGTTCAAGCACTTTGGTAACTGCGTTTACTACGACAGCAAATACGAAGCGTCGGTAAAAATAAAATAAAAAACTCCCTTTTTTTACTGTTACTCAAACACCATTTTACTGCTGATATATTTATTTAAAATTTGCCTGGGAATTTTGATTTGAATGCAGATAGTTGAGGAAGTCCCATATAAGAACTACTTGTCAATTTGTGGGGGTATTTCGATGCGAAGAAACGCCATTTATGAGCTGATGAGAAGCTTCGATGTGGGGAGAAAGTATGGAGAAGAATACAAGGAAGGTTGGCTGCTATTTGGCATGAGGATGTTTGGATTGGTGATACCTGGTTTGCCTGCTCATTGTCCCCAAGATTATGTAAACTCTACTCGACTCGGTTCCCATTCCCACCACCATCTTCTTTCTCGTGTTTTCCACCATTAAAAGCGCGCATCGACAAGTGCATGCCCTTGCTAGCCTGTACCAGATCTGCCATTAGATTTGGCTTCGCACTTTGAAGATTTCAAGAAAAAAAAGAATTACTATATTAGCATTTGTTTTATCCCATTCCCAATGTCTTTCAACTTGTTTTTCCAGCTTGTAGCAAGATTTATGTTTTAATAAGTTCGTTTACTGTTTTACCAACGTCAAACCTATTTTTGAATTATACTTACGATTTATGTGCTGTTAAAAATGTAAAAAATTTATGGGACAAGTGGTTAATTTTGTTTGTCCTCTTGATTTAAAGGTTTCGTTTTGATTAATCTATATTGGCTCGCGTCATATACAAAATTTTAGTGAGTGAATATTCAAACAAAAATCTTTTGCATATTCAAGAACTCATACTCGAGATCTTACCTAAGTGGTTAATCTAACTCATATTTAAACCTCTAATGACATGAATTACTATAGAAACCTTTCCAAATTTATTTCACTCTGTCATGGGATACCATACAAATTCTTATAACATTAATTTTTTTTTAATTAATCTAGAGTATTACAAGTAGTAGTATTTGTTAGTGTTCGAACATGCAATATGTAGGAATAACAATCATCCTTTAATTATTGAGTTTAGTTTATGCTATGAGACTAATTTTTTAATTTTAAAATAATATTTGTTTAGAAAAATAAGGATAAATTCTGTATTTAATACCTAAACTATTAGTTTTGATCCGTTTTAGTTCCTAAATTTTTAATTTTTTTAAAAATATACCTAAAGTTTAGTTTTAATATGTTTCATTTTAGTATCATGTTCAAAATATAATGTTAAGTTTTAAAAAAATTGAAAGTTCATATAGTAAAACATACCAAAGTTAATAATTTAGGTACTAAACGTTTTAAATTTTTAACGGTATGATACAAAAATTAAATAAAAATAAATATTAAATATGATTTTAAAATTAATAATTTAAGTATTAAATGCGTAATTTATCCAAAAAAAAAAATAATATCATGATACCTATTTAATTGTAGTTATAAAACAGAGCGGGGCAAATCTCCTAATTACCGAAACGACTCAGTTTAGATAAAGATGTCATCTCAAGAGTTAAAAGTAATTGATAAATAATATTTTAAAATACACGCAATTCACGCTTTCCCATAATTAATTATTTTTTCAATGTTTAAGTTGGGATCTATAAGATACGACAGATTTAATATACTCTAAAAAAAAAATATCAAAAATATTAATATTTTTTAATATTTTTTTTTTGTAAAACATAATCTAAAATATTATTTTTTCTATCGAAAATATTAATATCGATAACTGCCTAAAATATTTAACATTTACAGTAAAATGCTACTTAAAACATTATTTTTTACCATAAATATTAATATTAGACGTTACCTAAAATATTTTTTTTACCAAAAATTAAATAGTAAAATTAATATTTTCGATAAAAAATAATTTTTTAAGTAACATTTTACCATAAATATTTAAAAATATTGACATTTTCAACAAATTATCTCTTTAACTGTATATTAAGATTATCTTACGACAGTACTACCTTTACGTTCACGTTGCTGGGAAGAACGTCTTTCACTCCTACACTCAAGTGAATCTTTAATATATATTACTTCATAAACGTTTTCGAAATATAATATATTTATTATGTATATGGTGTAGATTTTGCTAAAATCTAAAACAAATTTAACTTTTATCAAAATTTTCAAATATTATATTGATTAGGGGATATGACCTGTGAATAGTAATAGCCATGTATATATATGTTATTCTGTTTTGATAAATTCTGTAGCTTTATTTTGTTTAATTTATTAATTTCAGACATTTATTCCTTTATCCTCCGTTTATAATTCACTGATGTATATATAAAACGCTTAATTTATTTACATTATGTAAAATTAATAAATTTTATAATAATTTATGATTATTAAATTTAGATAAATCCTAAACTCTTAAACCCTAAGTTATAAATTCTAAGCCTAAAATCTCAAACCCCAAATTATAAACCCCTCTACTCTTAAAACTTAAATTTTAAATTTTAAATTCCAAACCCTAACCCTAAAAATAAAAAATATAATTTGAAACACGTTAATTTTTTTCTTTACTTTGGATTAATTTTTATCTTATCTTTTATCTCTTATTTATATTTACTCCATAAATTGAATAAATAGAAAATGCAATTCAAGTAAAAGAGATTATAGATGTTAAGCTCTTAATCTATGTTTGCTGGTGTCAATTCTAGATTGCGCTTTTATATCAATCAATTGTATTAAATCATAGTATAAAAAATAATTTTTGAACCGGCGATAATTTTTTTTTTAAAAAGGTACTTTGTATTATAGAATTTACAAAGTAATCACCTCAGGGACCTCGTTAAAAAACCTTTCTAAACTTAATGGAGGAAAAAGAATGCACCCTAGAGTGGAATGGAAACAAAATAACAAACAGCAAAATTACACACTTAATGGAAACCCAATCAAGAAGCAGACCCCCTATATCCAACAAAATCCATCGCAAAACAAAAGAAACAGGAGAAGCAATCAAAACCAAGAGCATATTGGAACCTGCGATAAAAGGCTAACCAATCCAGAAACAGTAAACGATGTTTCCACCTAACTCAAGAGCTAACAGCAGAAGAGACGCTGCAGCAGGACAAGCCATTACCTGACACTATGAACGAAAGCTGTCGGATTGCGAACGAAGTCTGACACCACTGGATATAACATCGGCCATAAGTAATTCGCCCAGATTCCGATCTGAATAAGAGCTTTAAAAAAAATCTGATCAGCTGAGAAAGAAGCCCCATTAAATCTAGAATGATTTCTGCAAATCCAGATTGTCCATATCAAACCGAAAAAACCAATACGCCACAGTGGCCTTATTCTCTTCCTAATACTTTGCGAGAACCATACTTCAAACAATTGTTTTACGTTCCTAGGGAATACTAAATTTACATTCCACACAATGCACCATTTTTGTCAAGCTTTCCAAACAACGGTACAATGACAAAGAGCATGATTTACCTCTTCCGGTTCAAGATTGCAATGTAAACAGCGTACCTGGTCGGAACAGTCGACGCCCCTTTTGGCCAGCTTTACCATAACAGACAGTCTTAGTCGCACTGCTTTCCATACGAAGGCAGCTACTTTAGGAGGAACAAGATTGCACCAAACGGATTTCCACACGGGGTCTTCCAATAGGCCTTCGCACAACACTTTACAACAGACCGCTTTTGGGGTATATATACCATCCAACGCTCCTGACCAGAATACCCTGTCGCGGCCATGCTCGGCGCTAACTGCTCTATTTAAAACTTGGATGAATTCACTCCAAATAAGCTTTTCCCATTCAAAAAAGGCTCTTCTCATATCAATCCTTCATTCCCATCTACCTAGCACCCAACAACCGAATTCTTTAATCTTTTCACATTTATTAACCACAAGACTAAAAATCCTCGGAAAAGAAGATTTTAAAGAAATTTTTTCTGTCCAGAAATCTATATTATGCCCGTTATCCATTACAAGCCTCAAATCACCGAGAAAATCAGACACAAAAGACCCCGAAGGATTCTCAATACTGCGCCACACCCAAGAAGAAGATTTATACTTTACAGTTTTTGGCAAGATTGCATCATGATCATAATTGTACTTGGCTACAACAATTTTTCTCCATAAACTATCATTTTCCACACTATACCTCCAAATCCATTTATTAAGTAAGGAACGATTCCTAATATTGACATCAAAAAAGTCCAGTCCCCCATGGGATTTAGGTTTACATATTGTGTCCCACTTAATCCAGTGGATACTCCTCTCCGAATTAGAATTCCAAATAAAATTAACTATGCGACTATTGATCTGATCGGCAATAGCCTTTGGCATAGGGAAAATAGACATTAAATACACAGGCAGATTAGCTAGGACAGTTTTAATGAGAGTTAATCTACCTCCTAACGAGAGCAATTTACCTTTCCAGCTTTGAAGTCGCATGGAAACTTTATCCAAGATGGGTTTCCATAACAACTTTGAGATTTTCTGATCCCCTAACGACAAACCCAAGTACGACGACGGAAGTTTAGCACAACCACAATGGAACAAATATGCCCTGCTCTTCACACAACTATAATCCAAATTGACGCCCATTAGCAAAGTTTTTGTCATGTAGAGCTTCAATCCCGCTGCCACTTCGAAGATTTTTAAAATTCGGAAGAAATTTGCAATAGACTCATTATTTGAATCTAAGAAAATGATCAAGTCGTCAGCGAATTGAATGTGGGATAAAACCAGCCCACCAGACCCCACTTCCACACCACGACATAATCTAATGTCTGAAGCCTTTTGTAACATCTCGTTGAGCACTTCTCCAACAATATTAAAGAGCAGTAGTGACAGCGAGCAACCTTGTCTGAGACCCTTCTTCATTGAGAAACTATTAGTTGGAGAGCCATTAATTAAGATAGCTATAGAAGGAGTGGAAATGCAAAGATTGACCCAATTTCTCCATCTTTTGCCGAATCCTATTTTCTTGAGAATCAGGTTCAAAAACTGCCAATCAACCGCATCAAAAGCTTTGTAAAAATCTGCCTTGATCAAAATAGTTGCTTTCTTTCTTTTTGACAACCCATCAATTACTTCATTAGTAATCAAACTACTGTTAGCTATTTGTTTACCCGCCATGAATGCGAATTGGTGCTCACCGATAACCTCCGATAGACAACTGACCAACCTCTTAGCCAATAAACGAGAGACAATCTTATACATGCTATCCACTAAGGAAATCGGTCTGAAGTCTTCCGGGGAAATAGCCTCAGATTTTTTTCGGGACAAGCGCAATAAAATATTTGTTAAAGGATAGATCAGCAACATTTTCGTAATAAAACTCATGCATAAACCCCATAACTTCCCCTCTAATATGCATCCAAAATTTCTTTAAAAAATTCAAACTAAATCCGTCTGGACCTGGAGCACTTGAACTGTCGAAAGATTGAATAGTATGCAAAACCTCCT